TGATTTGCTGCAAGACACGTGCTCTGCTGCCTGAACTACAGAGTGCAAAGCAGGTAAGTGCCTGCCAACACCCCCACCCAACCTCCCCCCCACCCTCGTTTTTTTTTTTGGGCCCGGACATTTTTGCAACTCGGGGACCGGTCCGGACTGTCCGGTGTCCAGTGATGTCTGGATCACCGGACAGTCCGGACCGGTCCAGACACTGGTCCGGAAGACAGTCCGGAAGTGTCCAGTGTCCGGGTCCGGGGTTACCATGCATCAAACCCATAACTCTGAAATAAGCATGGAAGTATTCCTAGAGAATCAGTAGAGATCCATGATGCTTTAAAAAAAAAAAGAAAAAAAAAGAAAAGAGATCCATGATGCAACCCTGTGAAGACTCTGGGATAGCCTGGTCATGGCTAAGGTATGGATGAGGCAAAGATGTAACTCATCATGCTCATGGCCTAGCGAAGACATAGCTACAGTAGTAGAGTCCCATTCACAACTTAGGCTGTTGGTGCCGCCACTCCCGGCTATCAGGTCTGAAAGCTTGGCCCCTTCACGGCTGCACCACCTTCCCCATCCTTCCTGTGGCCGCTGCCAGTGTTACCATGCTGGAATCCCTGCAGGCAAAGCCGGGGTTGGGCCATTTGGGCGTCGAACCCCGCAGCCCCATGCCGGGTGAAGTAACGCTGCCAGGGGCAGGGCCAGGTGTGGGTGAGGGTAGAAATCAGAATTATTTTTTCTTTTTTGTTCCCTGCAAGACTGCAATGCCCATGTCGGAAACTGCACGGAACCTTTTTTTTTTTTTTTTTTTTTGGTAGGGCTTTCGGCCGGGGCAGGAAAAGTTGTCCCGACCTCGTCATTGCCTGCCTCCACACCCACCACACTCGCCACCGCCTCCTAGCTGTCCACAGCCTCGCATGACAGGCAGGGCTTGTCCCCGCACCCGGCTCCGACCCTCACCCCCACTCCCAGCTCCCATCTCTGGCCCTGCCCTCGGCTCCCATCCCCGTGCCTGCACCTCGGCGTCGACCCATCCCGGCCCCAACAAAGTGACCTTGGTGAGGGAGGGGGGTGTCCCCTATTTTTTTGGGTCCTGCGAACCCGCTCCTCATGGTTTCCTGAGTTTGGGCCACAGGGAACACACAGCCATTTTCCCAATACCCAAAAACGAATGGTCGCTGACCTCATGCTGTCCCCCACAGGGATGTGGGGACAGCAGTCTCAACCCTGGCTTTCTTGTGGGGACCCCCCCTTGACAACTCAGCTGATCGCTAGGCAGGCTGTCTGGCTGGTTGGGCAGCCTGCCTGCATGCCTCACCGTCGCCTGTCCAATTGTCCGTATCTACTATCTATCGATCGGTCCATGAATTAAGTCAGTTTTTGGGTCCACAATTTCTGAGTGGAGTCTGCAAAAAAGGCAAAAGTTCTGACAAACTCAAGCTTGTGATGTACATAGACAAAATTAGCGTATTCCCACCAACCAGCTGCCGGAAATATTTTCAGTGATGTTTGATGATGTTTGGTGATGTTTGGGTATCATGTTATGAATGGATGAGACATCGCACTCTGCGCAGTTGACTAAGTAAGCCTTCATTTGTCGATCTTCGTGTCAACTTCATGCAGTTCCTATCATTGCGCAGCGCTGGGAGAAGCCGTGTAAAGGTGGGCCTCTCTCTCCACCTTTTGTAGTTTGGAGATTGTCCTTGACTTGCCGGGGGAATAGGAATCGGACTGTCGCTCCCCAGAATGGCAGGAGCCAGAACCGAGAGGTTCTGACATCACAAAATAAAAAAAGAAAAAAAAGAAAAAAGAAAAAAAAAGAACATCTGCTGTCCGTTGCGATCAGTCCCTTTCCCTTTAAGATCAGTTTTCCTTGACAAGCTTCTTGTGAATCAGTGCCAGGTGAGAACAAGGGGTGAGGACAGGACAGGACAGGGATTCAGGGAAGAAGATGATTTGAGAGGTATAGCCATGAGAGAAAACGGATAACGTTTGGAATCTGTCTGTCAGGTGTTGTCAGTCCCTTTCCCTTTGCGGTCAGTTTCCTTCTTTGACATGCTTCTTGTGAATACTAGTAGGAGGGGAGAAATGATTGGAGAGGTACAGCCATGCCTTGAGAGAAGACGGATAATATTTTGAGCTTTGGATCAGTGTGTTCCGAAGCAGCCGCGCCGGCAAAAGCTGCGATGTTTTGAAAAACCTTGTCAAAAGCTTGATGATCAATCAATCCAACGTCCACCATCTTAGACTCAGATTCTCATCTCAACATGACAGAACCTATTTGTTTGAGGACATTTGAAGTACTACGACTCGAGGGTAGGAATTGAGCATCCTTGCACGCAACATGCTGTGAGCATTTGCATAACCTCAGCAAACGTGCTGCATTGGCCTGAAAGGAAAACGGGCCCGGCCAGTTTTTATTTTTAAAATGGGTTATGCCTTTCTCGGCCTTTTGGTTAAGTAAGATCAAGTGTAGTATCTGTTCTGATCAGGTTAATAGAGGGCTGGGTCAGGGCGAGGTTGGGTACCGAGCAGGTGATTGCGATCGCAGCAGACCATGAGCACGTTGGGAATGTACAGGATGGCAGGGCCTGCCAGCCCATCTTGATCCCGGCCTCGCCATACAGGGAGAGGACACACAGCTAGAAAGTTAGAACTTAGAAACACTTTTTTCTTTTTTTTCCGTTTCCTTCCCCCCTCCCCCCTTAAAAATTTGGACCGTTTCTCGATTTATGCGTGCCATCCTTGCGCAGAGGCCACACAACTAGAAACACATTCTCACTGGGCAAATGCGGGGAAGAATAACTGAGGGAACGTATCAGCCAGTAACAGCAACCAGCCAGCCAGTGTAGTTGGGAGGAGGCCAGTGCCAACCATAGCTGAGCTCGGTGCCGGAAGGAGGATAATGGTGCTACCATCTTCACCCGAATAGAACGCTCGGTCATTATAGTTGTATTTGGCACAACTTTCAGCCCAGATACGGTGATAATTGCTGAGCACATTGCTAGTAAGGGAGGTCCTAGGAGGAAGGGGAAGGCTGTACGGAGAAGGAGGTTGGCGAGAGACATACCCGGTGGTCACCAAGACGAGCTCCAGCATGATGTATTCGTCATTGGGCATCGGCGGGAGCAGCACTGTACTCTGTGCGGCATTGTATATTGGAGTAGTGCGGGCGAGGGTAGTGGCTAGATTAGGTAAACACATAAGTAGGTTGTGAGTCCAGCGAAATCAGAGAGAAATGTAATTGTTGTCGTATCGGTTGTTGGGAGGCGAGCAAAGGGCTTTTCGTCATCAAGGGAGTTCAATGTTGTTGGTTCTTGCGCTGGTGTAATTATTGCTCTGTGATTTCTGCTGATTGCCTTGTCACCAGGAGAGTTAAATTTTTCGCTTGTAAATTGAATTTCTCAAACTTTCTTATTCTCGTCTACAGTGCCCTTGCAGCCAAGACTCTACCTCGCAAGAGTCACAATCACATTCTTTGAGTTTACAAAAATTAAAAACATTCTGTTGGTTTTTTTTTTAATCTTATTTTTCCAATTGTGCAACAACTCACCTCAAATCTGCATTAGCCGTGGGCTGTGGGTCGTCACTTTTGGTCAAAGTCCCGAAACAGGGGTCCAAAGTCACGCCCCAAGTCTTAGAAACACTGATTGTGAAGCAGGTGACCCTGGAAAAGTCAACGGTCATCCCCAGCTTGAAGTCAAGGGGTGATGTCAAGGGGTGCCCAGGGCAAGTCCAAAACTGGCCTTCAGAGGCCCTACGTGAAGCAGTTGACCCTGGGAAAGTCAACGGTCAACCCCAGCTTGGGAATCCAAGCCCAGAAGTCAAAGTCAACCCGCTGGTCAGCCTCGGGCATAGATTGGATGCACATCATTGGTTGTATGCAGGTGTCCAGAAGAATCCGGTCCAAGTGGGACAGGTGGGGAATCTGCAACTGTACGACATCCAGGCCATTGGCTTCCAATAGATCTGGGTCGTCGTACCCAGGAGACCAGAGGCTGGTCAACCTGAGTCAACACTATAAGTTGACCCATCCCCTGCCTGAGAGCGTTCAGTCTTGTGCGTTCTGCATGACGCTGGATCGACGCGAGACTGTGGGAGCTTTATGCTGGCGCCATTCTTCGTGTGCGGCGCCAGCCTTGTGGGCGATTTTGCTGACGTGGCCATAGCCACATTGATTGCGACACTGACTGGAGTGAGAGCGAGGAGGAGGAGGAGGAGGATCTGGACTGTGAGATTGGTTTGATTGATGAGGGGAAGCTTACCTGGACGAACCTGTGTCGACATGTGTGCTTTGCTGATCGTCTCCAGGAGGGAGATCTGCACCATCCTCTCTGTTCGCTGCTGACGTGGCTGGAGGATGAGCGCCTTGTTGTGACCTGCTTGTTGTCAGAGATCGTCAGGGAGGAACTGTTGTTGACGTGGCGAGTTGGGGGAAGTAATGCCCGAAGAGGAAGGGGGCTCACGAGGGATTTTCTCCTTCGTCATTGTTGGTGGAAACTCTCTCCCTCCTCCTCTAAGTCTCTTCTTCCTCCCTCCTCATTCTCCTCTCCGAGTTCGAGATAAAGGGATACTACATGTATGACGAGTATGGTTCCACGAACGACTTTTAGAGACATTGATTCTGTGCTGTGGCAGACTTGTTGTTACATACTCCAATGAGTATGGGCAGAACCAAGAATCAACCAATATAGGATGAGT